GTAGGTAGGTAGATTGATAGATAGATATAGATGATATAGAGGATAGATATAGATGATAGATAGATGATAGATAGATAGATAGATAGATAGATAGATAGATAGATAGATAGATAGATAGATATAGATGATAGACATAGATGATAGATAGATGATAGACAGACGATATAGATGATAGATATAGATGTGTCTATGACTGAATGTGTGTGGGGAGGTAACTTTGAACCCCCAGATGCCAGGCCACTGACGGTTTCAAGATCACCACTATCATTTTCCACTCTGGCTTGGCCGCAGCTTCCCTCGTCCAAGATGTTTCATGCTAAAACAATAGACCCCCTCCTTCTCAGCCCTCTCTCTCTCTCTCTCTCTCTCCCCTTGCCTTCCCAGCATGCACCTGGTGAAGTGGTCTTCTCAAGGGATGCTGCGCATGTCTCCCGAGGCCATGAACGAGCTCTTCCAGCCCACCGTCAGCCAGATCATCAAGCACATTGGTGAGTCCTCCAGGTCTCCCCTTGCCTTCCCAAAGGTCCTGAGGCCAGCTGGGCGAGGGGCTGGGGGTCTCAGCAGAGGCAGAGGGATTTCTTCAGATTGGCAGGGCTGGGGGTTGCAAAGGGTAGAAGATCAAGAAGGTCTCCAAGGGTCAAGGATGTCTATCTAGGAGGTTCGAGGGGTTTAGAAAATGGGGCACCTGAAATAATTTTGGATCTCCTGGGATCCCAAAGGTGCTTTTTCAAGAGGCAATCGGTTTTTCTTTGAAGAGATTTCACTTCTCATCCAGGAAGCTTCTTCAGTTCTGGGTTGGGGGTTGAACTGGAGAAGCTTCTTGGATGAGAAGAGAAACGTCTTCCAAGAAAAACTAGAAAGTCCAGTTGCCTCTTCAAAAAGCACCTTCGGGGCCACCATGACCTGGATGGCTGAGAATCTCCATAGACTTTCTTGGTTGTTTTTTCCTTGAAGAGGTTTCGCTTCTCATCCAAGAAGCTTCTTCCGTTCTGGGTTAGGGTTGAACTGAAGAAGCATCTTAGATGAGAAGCGAAACCTCTTCAAAGCAAAAAACCAGAAAGTCCATTTGCCTCTTGAAAAAGCACCTTTGGGATGACCTGGATGATGGAGAATCTCCACAGACAGATCTCCTGGGATGGGATGCAAAGTATGTGATACCCACCATCGTTTTAGTTACAGGACGAAGTTTGTGAGGGCTTGGTCCCGTTCTCGTCATTAGACTAGACATCCCCAATTCGTACAACCTTTCTTCCTACTCAAGGGTGGAGCTCAACCCATGAGCTAAATTATGAAGAAACTGACCCTTTGTATCTCTCTCTGCCTGTCAACTTAAGTCAAATATCCAGCTTCGACTCTTGGTTGGACAATGGCAACCTTCCAGTGCTGGGATTCAAAACTTTTTATTACCAGTTCTGTGGGTGTGGCTAGGTGGGTGTGGCCATGTGACTGGATGGGCGTGTTTTTTTTTGCAGCCACCCCCCACCTGTTTTGGGGCCTTCTGGGCCTCAGAGGAGCCTCCTGGGGGGGGCGTTTTTGCTCCCCAAAGGCTCCCTGGGGCTCAGAAAGGCAAAAAAATGGAGAGAGGGGGAGACACCTGTGACCCTCCTTCCATTTTTTGCCTTCCTGGGCCTCAGGGAATCCTCCTGGGCGAAGCAGTAAGACAGTTAGGGGAATCCTGGAACAGCTGATTGTCGGGAGGGGGAAAAAAAAGAAATACCTTAAGGGGCGAGCATCAGGCGGGTGGGGTGAGCGAGAATCAGGCGGGCAGGGCAAGTGAGCCAGTGGTGACCAGGCGACTGGGCCAGGGGCGTGGCTAGCCAGAACTTACTACCAGTTCGGCGACCCACACCAAGTCCTTGCTACCGGTTCACTCAAACCAGTGTGAACCGGCTGAATACCACCACTGCAACCTCCTCATGTCCTCCCCTTTCCAAACTCTTCTCCTTCTGTCAGATGACCTCATGAAGAAGCCCGAAGTGAAAGACATCAAATTCTTCTTCTTGGTGGGCGGATTTGCCGAGTCGGCCATTTTACAGCACGCCATCCAATCCGCCTTCAGCAGTTCCTGCCGGGTCATCATCCCTCAAGACGTAGGGCTGACCATCCTGAAAGGAGCGGTGCTCTTCGGCCTGGACCCCACCATCGTCCGGGTTAGGCGCTCGCCCTTGACCTACGGCGTTGGAGTCCTGAACAAGTTTGTGGAGGGGAAACACCCGAAGGAGAAGTTGTTGGTCAAGGAAGGGAAGAACTGGTGCACCGACATCTTTGAGAAGTTTGTCTCGGTGGATCAGTCGGTGGCCTTGGGCGAAGTGGTGCAGAGGAGCTACTGCCCAGCCCGGGTGGGTCAACGCAAGATCATCATCAACATCTACTGTTGTGCCATGGATGAGGCGGTCTACATCACCGATCCGGGGGTGAGGAAGTGTGGCACCATCAGCCTAGAATTGGAGGAACTGGATGAGCCCAGCTCGCCCAAGAAGAGCCGGCGGGAGATAAGAGCCAGCATGCAGTTTGGTGATACGGAGATCAAGGTGGCTGCCATGGACGTCTGGACCTCCAAGACCGTGCGGGCATCCATAGACTTCCTCTCCAACTGAGGTCCAGAAGTAGAGAGGACTCTGGACTGGTAGAAGATCGGAGGGGGAAGACACCATTCTTCTGCGTTGCAAGCCGCTTGGATGATTGGTGACTCAACTTTATGGATTCAGCCCAACCGTTGGCCAGTTTTTTGGGGTGGGTGGGTGGGTGATTTAGGCCACGAACCTGCCAAAAAACAGCAAGGTGGAACTTCTAATGGCCAACAGACTGGTGGGGTGGGTAACTTTTGGGATTAATTGGGTCAAAAGTGGAGGAGATTGTTGTGCCTTGGAACTTCTAAAGCTCTGAGAACATCTTGCATTTCTCCAGTCATCTTGGACTGGTGGCCTTTGGCTTCCCAGAAAGACAAGTTATGGGTTCTGGTGTACTTACTTTGTCTATAAACATGGACATTTGGATGTTATGATTCCTTCTGCATTCCTCTGCTTGGGGAGATCTCGTAGCCAGAAGGGCGTCAAAAAAAATATTACCCATCATGAACAACGAGGCAAAGTCTCACGGAGAAAATCTGGTTCCACAACGTACTACAGATAGTCCTTGACTCACAGCTGTTCACTTAGTGAGCATTCAAAGTCACAGTCCTCCTCCTCCTCCCCTCTGCAAACCCCACTCCCTTCTAGCACTGATGATATTACCTAGTTGGGTATTGAAACGTCTACAAGAAACCAGGCTGAGAGAGCTCCAAGGACCCCAGCCGTCCTAGTCTTCCTCCACAGTTCTCCTCCTCCCCCTCCCCTCTGCTAACCTCTCCTTTCTAGCACTGATAATGTTACCTAGTTGGGTAGCGAAATGTCTGCAAGAAAACCACCAAGCTCAGAGAGCACCAAGGGATGTCCCAGAAGATTCCTCCATCCCAAAGGGGAATTTGGCTCAAAGGGGTTTTAGGGTTGCCCCAAAATACAAGCAGATCAGTTTGGTGGTCTTTGAGGGGAAGGGGGAAAGAGGTGAGACGCCACCAGAAAACCCACAATCTGCAGACTGAACTAGGGAGGCAAGAGAAGGAGAAAAATTCTGGGTGAAGGAAGGAAACAGCAAGGGTGTGTCTTCATGTCAGAAGTCCAAACCACATTTCTCTCCACCCCCACTCCCTGCCTGCCCACCAGAGATCAAAAAGAACAGAAGTAGTTTTAATGTTTCAACTGAAATTTATTTTGCTTCCAGAGTTTGCTTTAAAAAAACAAAGAAACACGAACACAGGTTTCCTCATAGGGGTAATAAGTGTGCATGTGTGTGTTTTATACATAGGCACATAAAATCCATTGGTTTCTTCCAAGAAGCCCACCGCATCCCTGCTGTGTGTCCCATGAGTTATCCTACAAAGAGGTGGGCTTATATTTGGGGGGGAGGGAAGAGGGGAGATAGAAACAGATCCTTAATATTTGAGTGGGAGCTCTTATGACTCCAGTTGGCTGAGGCACCTGTCTCTTGCAAGGCAGAATCTGAAGCTGTGGCTTCTCCAGGAATGGATTAGAGTTGGTTGGGAAGAGGGCCCGGCTGCCCCTCACCCCACCCCACTATAAGCCGGGGAAAAGTCAGAAGCAGCTACTGGGATGGCCCTTCTTGCCCGCCTGGGAGGTCTCACTTGGAAGTCTACCAAGAGATGGAAGTCCTAAAAGGACAGAGGTCCATGAGCATTGGAGAAGGAGAGAGACTACTGTAGCAAAAGTTGGGAGATGTTTCTCAACCTTAGACGCTGGAAGACGGGTGGACTTCCAAGTCCCAGAATTCCTCAGCTGAGGAATTCCTGGGACTTAGAAGTCCACCTGTCTTCTAGTGTCTTCTAGTAGCCACGATTGAGAAACCTTCCGTGAAGGTCTTCTCCAACCATGTCATCAAAATCGTGGTGGGGCATTGGTGTCGTAACGGCAGGCGTAGCACCGTCCTCTTCCACTGACCTAGGCAAGTAATGCCAGTGCATTTTGGAAAGGGGTTGGGGCTGGTTGGTGACACCATGCCCGTTGTCCTGCTGATGTTGGCCTACTGAGGAACCCAACCTCAGCTGGACTTCCACGCACAGCTCTCCAGCCTAGATGGGCAACGAGGACCTGGACACCAGGGTTAGGGTGGGGTGGGCAAACATCCACCCATGAACATCATTTTCGCCGTTGAGGTGGTTGACATCATGATGGAAGTCCTATCATCGTGGTGTTGGCCAGTGAACGGGCGTTGCAGGGGATTAAAACCCCACCCATGAAAACAAGCCACACACCTAACTCAAACTCACAAATTACTCAACCAATGTTGTCTTTGGGTAGCTACACAAGGATCTTGCTCTGCCTGTGCTAACGGGCCGTCTACTGATGAGTTCATCCCTTAGGGCAGGGGTCTCCAACCTTGGCCACTTTAAGACCTGTGGACTTCCAACTCCCACAATTCTCTAGCCATCCATGGGGAATTCCCTAGAATTCCCTCGCCAGCCATAGGGGATTCTGGGAGTTGGAAGTCCACAAGTCTTAAAGCGGCCAAGATTGGAGACCCCTGCTCTTAGGAACAGTGTTTCTCAGTGGGGTGACTTTAAGACTCCTGGACTTCAACTCCCAGAATACCTGGCTGGGGAATTCTGGGAGCTGAAATCCAGCTCTCTTAAATGTCTCCAAGCTTAAGAAACCCTGCCTTAGACAACACAAGGAATTTGTCTTTAGGGATTCTTAGTCCAGGATGGGACTTTGGGGTTCCAGCTGTGACATTTCCACGGAGAAACCAACAAATCACGTATCTTCAAACACACAAAAAAACCTCGTATGGCAACAAGGGAATAATTCCCTTGCGTTTATCTCCTAAACAGCAGCAAAAGTTTTGTCTTTTGAAGAAAACCTTCCTAGGCTAACTGAACTGGGAGGGAGGGAGGAGGGTCTTGGGAATAAATTGGGGTGGGCTGCATCACAAGAGGGCCACAGGTGCATCCATCCTCATAGCCAAGGGAGAAATTGGAAGGAAGGGGAGGGGTTTTTTGTTGGATTCAAATGAATCTTTGCAAAACCGAGAAGGCTTCAGGTTTTTTTTCTCTCTTCCTGAGTGGGGTTCATTTCCAACACCGGGAGGGGGGGGAGAATAAAGAGGGGGGAGACCCCCAAACCACAGGCAACTTAGGTTGTGTGCAGTGGTCCCCAGGAACCGTCAGTGTCACAGTCACTTAAAAGCCTCTTAAAACACAGTGAAATTCGATGGGCGCTCCCACCAGCTGGCAAACAATATATTAAGCTTTCCTGCCAGCTTTTCAAGCACTAAACAGCTGTCTTTTGGGGGGGCAGCAGCCAGTACTGTCAATACAACTTCACCCCAAAAAACCCCACCCAAACCTGTAATTTCCTGCTTCCCCAAACAGCTTTTCGGGGCTAAAGAGCTGGCACCTTCCAAGGAGCTAAAAAAGGAGAGAGAGGGGAAAAAAAATAACACCTTTCTTGATCTCTGCGGGGTTTTTTAAAACAGCGACAACTTCTTAAAGCAGAGGTCTCCCAACTTGGCCACTTTAAAGATTTGTGGACTTCAACTCCCAGAATTCCTCAGCCAGAGGAATTCTGGGAGTTGAAGTCCACAAGTCTTAAAAGTGGCCAAGTTTGGGGACCCCTGTCTTGAAGGGACTATCGCAACGCGCCGTGGCCAACTCGCTGTGGGATAAGAGTTACCCTAACATCGAGTGGAATCGTTAAAAGAGAAAGGAGGGCAAAGGAAGGGCAACATTTTTAAAAAGGCGAATTATTAAAAATATATTTTTGAAAAATTATTTTTGAAAATTGCGTTGAGTCATCCCGCCGTGAATTGTCTCGTGGCGAGTTGACCCATTTCCGCCTCCAAGCCTGCGGTTCCCCCCACAATTTTTCTTGGCTTGTAGGAACGGCCCGGGGAGGAAGGAACGGTTCCATGCAAGTGCCAGGCACGAGCAACTCCCATTTGCACAAGCGGCAGGCGCGTGCCACCGCCACTTGCACAAACGGAGTGACGTAACGTGGCTGTTTGCACAGTCCTGGTTCCGAAACAGGCCGCCTACGCGGGCGGATTGGGGACGATTAAAACATCCAGCCAAAGTCAGCTGGCTTTTTCCCTCCTCCGTTGCAAATGGCAGTTGCCAAAGAAAAACAACCCTCCGCAGGCCACCCGACTTTGCTAAACCAGGTAGAATTTTTTTTTTTAAAAAATGGCACGCTTGAGTTTGAAGAACAAAACCCTGCCGTACGGCGCAACGCCCTGAGCTGCGCCATCGACGGAACGGAGGTTACGGAAATGGATCTGCGCCTGACTGGACGCCCGCCTGAAGCACAACCTACAAGGGGGTTGAGGTTTAATGGTAGATGTAACGGCGGGGGGGGTAGACAGGAGAAAAAGCACAGTGCCAGCCCCACAAAGACAAGCGCCACCGGAGCAGCACAGCACATGCGCGCTCAAACCTGGCGGACAGCGGAGGTGGCATTTAGTTTTTTTTTATTATTTCAAGCTTAACCGGAAAAATATATATATGTGTGTATATATATCTATATATATATATATATATATGTATATATATCTATATAGGTAGAGGAACCCTGGGGAAGGCGCTGGATTCTGTAGCAGAATGGGGGCATGTCCTGGCTAGTCAAAGCCCTGCCATTCGCTTTGCTCAGAATCGTATTCCACTTCGGCGCCGATGCATTTCACGCCTTCCAGGAGCATCGGTGTGCCGTGGTGTCGGTCTGCAAGGGAAGGGAAGAGCGCACATCAGTGGCGGGGTTCAAATTGCTCTGCCGCTGGTTCGGCGGGCGTGGCTCGGGGCGTGCTTTGCTTAACGCGGGCGCGCAGCTTTCCCCACTACCAGCTGAGACCCGCAGCGCCAATCACCTGAGAGGGATATGTCAACTGAAAAAAACAACACTCCTTTGTTCTTTTTAGTTGCCAGCAGAAAAGGTGTTGGGGGAAAGCAAGTGCATTCCTTAAATACTTCACATAATTGCTAGGCAGCCGAAGCTGTTGGCGTGCAAGATTATTATGGGAGAGCATGACTGATGACCCTTAGCTATGGATGTGTTCCATTGGAGAATAGACATCCAGGGGGTGGAGGGGGAAGATCAGGGTCAAGGGTGAAATGAATGATGTATCTTAGTGTCAGCTACATCCAGGTGATGCCGAAATGGTCACTCCTAATAAATCAATTTATTTTGACTCTGAGAGATGTGGCTAGAGACTTATGATTTGAATTGGGGGTGGTTTGTCGGAGCCCTGACAGGAGAAAGAAAAGTGCAGGAGAAGGTAGGAGGGCCCATCCTCACCTTTTCTCTTTTTTCTCCTATCAGCTGATTGCCGATTTTTTCCCCCTCCTATCAGCTGATCCTTGTTTTTTTTTTTTTTTTCTACCGGTTCAATTGAACCGGGGCCAAATCAGTAGCATACCACCACTG